AAATACCAACAGAGAAGAAAGGAGTCTTCACATCAAGAATTAATGCTATCCCCTCTGTACACAGGGTAGATAGGGATGGGCAACTTAGACATTGGCTACCTAAAATGAGGGGGTGATAAAGGCACTAAGAGACTGCCTTACAAGGTTTCAGGAGGGAGTTGAGTTTAAGAGTGTGTGTGGGAAGATAGAGGCCTCACTGAATAGTTTCATCGTCTCTAGATGGGTCGGGTAAAAAGAGATGAGGATAAGATTCCTATGATTCAATAGTGAGTAATTGTTAGCATGACTAATTGTGACTGTCACAGTTGTAAATGTAGAAGTTTTGTAACAAAAACGGGGGAGTGGTTAATCTTACAATCCAGAAATAAAGGACCCTGGGACCATCAAGGGAGAAGAGCCAAGCGGAATGCAAGACCTTATCCAGAGAAATAGTGACACCTGAGATGGAGACAGAGATGGGGACATGGAGAGAGGGAGCAGCTGAGGACTCTAGATTCATGGAAAGAGAGGCAATGAGAGGTGGCAGCCAGTGGCAAACTTGCAGAATGTGCCCTTTGGTGGTTTAAATTATTATATATGCCTGAATGTTAAAAAAAAAAAAAAAAAGCTAAAATGAATAGAGACAAATACTATTAACTGATGATACTTGGAGGGGGTTATAATAATTGTAATGAACCAAAGTATATGACTTGTTGAATGTAAAACTGATGATCTGCCCTGTAAACTTTCACTCAATTCACAATAAAATCTTTAAAAAAAAGAGTACATCTTCCAGCTAACAAGGTGGAAGCAACATACCTTTTTGAATTTTGTTGTTGTTAAGTGCTGTCAGGTTAGTTCCAACTTGTATAGGGTTTCCAAGGAGCAGCTGGTGAGCTTGAACCGCCAAACTTGCAGTTCAAACCAACCTTGTAGTCCAGCGCATTAACCCACAGCGCCACCCCAGGACTTTATGACTTTACTGTTGTTGTTGTTGGTAAGTGCCATCAAGTCGGTTCTTACTTTCTGAGGAGTGGCTGGTGAACTTGAACTCCCGACCTGTGGTTTCAAACCAACCTTGCAGTCCAGCGCATTAACCTGCAGAAGTCATTAAACATTAGAAGTCACACAGTGTCACTTCTGCCACAAGCCCATCCACAAAACTCAGTCTCTTGATGTGGGAATAGCAAGATTCTAGAAAAGCATGTGGGATGAGAGCTATCATTGCAACTAGTTTGGGAAAATACAATCCTTAGGAGATAAACCAAGAAAGAAAATGAGGAGACAGACCATGCCAAGTCTTGTAAGCTCTCTCTAAGGGTTTAGTTTTGATATGAACTGTGATGGGGAACTAACTGCAGGAAGGCTTAAGCAATAGTGAAATTAACCATATTTGTCTTTAAAAGTTCATTCTAGCAGTACTGATGTGGCACTATAGAATAAGCACTGGACTGCTAACTACAAGGTCGGTGGTTCAAACCTCCCGACCACTCCTGGGAAACCCTAGACAATGGACTCAGTGGCACTTAACAACAAAATAAGGCATATGGATAAAGAATTTGTGAGGAGGGGCTGCTTTTAAACACTTCACAGAGGTCTTGCACAGCAGATTTGCCTAATGCAATACAATGTTTAATTCCATGAGTGTTGACGGTGGATCTGCACAAAACAAAGTCTTTTCTCCATTTATCATGATTGGTCCACTTGTGAGGATTGTTTTTCTTTACACTGAGGTACAGTCCATACTGAAGGCTGTAATCTTTGATCTTCATCAATGATTAAGTCCTCTTTGTTTTCAGCAAGCAAGGTGTGTCATCTGCATATCTCAGGTTGTTAAAGAATCTGCCTCCAATCCTGATGCCACATTCTTCTTCATGTAATCGAACTTCTTGGATTCTTTGCTCAGTATACAGATTGAATAAATATGGTGAAAGAGTACAGCCCTGGTGTCCATCTTGTTCTGTTCAAACAATTGCCTCTTGGTCTATGTACACAATCTTGGTCTCATGAACACAATTAAGTGTTCTGGAATACCTATTCTTCACAATGTTATCCACAGCTTGGCATGATTCAAATAGTCAAAAACCTTTGCAAAGTCAGTAAAGCATAAGTATTCTTTCTGGTATTCTCTGCTTTTTAGCCAAGATCCTTCTATGTCAACAATGATATCTCCAGTTCCATGTCCTCTTCGAATCCAGCTTGAAATTCTGACATTTCCCTACTGATGTACTATTGCAGGTGTTTTTAAATTAACTTCAGCGAAATATGACTTACATGTGATAGTAATGATTTTTGTTGTTGAGAAGTGCCATTAAGTCGGTTCTGATCCATAGTGACCATGTATAGGGTTTCTGAGGAGAAGCTGGTGAGCTTGAACCACATACTATTCGATTATTTCTGCGTTTATTGGGTCACCTCTTTTTGGAATCGGCATAAATATGGATCTCTAAATTTCTTGGCATAGATGAGTGAGTGCCTTTAGTGCTGCATCAGTTTGTTGAAAATTTTCCGTTTGTATTCCATCAATTCCCAGAGCCTTGTTTCTCACCAACGCCTTGTGTGCAGCTTGGACCCCTTCCTTCAGTATTACTGGTTCTCAACCATATGCTACCTTCCAAAATGGCTGAACATTGACCATGTCTTTTTGGTACAGTGACTCTCTGTATACCTTGCAACTTCTTTCGACGCTTTCTGCATCATTCAATACTTTGCCCACAGAATCCTTCAATAGTGCAAATCAAGGCTTGAATTATTTTCTTCAGTTTGAACTTTCAGCTTGAGAAATGTGAGCATGTTCTTCCTTTCATTTGGTCTTCTGAAGCTGCCCTCGGAAATTTTCTGTTCAGCTTGTTTACTTCCTCATTCCTTCCATTCACCTTAGCATCTCTATGCTGCAGGGCAAGTTTCAGAGTCTCTTGTGACATCCATTTTGGTAGTTTTTTTTTTCTTTCCTGTCTTTTTCATGACCGTTTGCTTTCTTCCTGTATGATGTTCTTGATGCTATCCCACGAATTATGACAACCTTATGTATACCCAAAGTAAACATTACTGGGTCCTAAGCCTGGGAAAAAGGAGCTCTGGTAGTGTAGTGGTTACGAATCGGGCTGCTAATCTTACAGTCAGCAGTTCAAAACTACCAGCCCTTCCATGGGAGAAAGATGAGGCTTTCTGCTCCCATAAAGATTTACAGCCTCGGAAACCCTGTACAGGGTCGCTATGAGTCTGAACCAACTCCACAGCACATAACAACAGCAAGAAGCCTGGGAATACGGTGTGCTGCAGGCTTTAAGGACTCCTGGTGTGGCGCTGTAGGATCAGCACTGAACTGCGAAATCACAAGGTTGGCAGTTCAAGCCGACCAGTCGCTCCTCGGAAACCCTACACAGGGTCACTATCAGTCGGAACCGATTCGATGGCACTTAACAACAAGAAGTCATCTTCATAATTGTTGGTTATGTTTGGGTCCACTTAATAAAATTGTTAGACTAAATGGATTAAGGATGGGTAATGATTTAGCTAAAAACAAAGAACGTTTTTTAAAAATGCACAGTACTGGTTGAGATGTGTGGCGGCTAACGCGCTGTGGCGCTGCGGATTAATGTACTGGACTGCAAAGTAGGTTTGAACCGCAAGGTCGGTGGTTTAAGCTCATCAGCCGCTCCTCGAAACCCTACACAGGGTCGCTATGAGTCGGAACTGACTCGACGGCACTTAACAATAACTCAGCAATACTCACCCTTCTTTTCACTGCTGACTGTGCCAAACAGACTGGAACACGCACGCGCACACTATGAGCCGCACTTAGTCTGAAGCTTCCCGATTGCGCATGCGCGGTGTAAGGTGATCACCATGGAGACGCGTAGCCCTAACAGTGGGCCCCAGGAGCCGCGGGCTCTGGGGTAGCGGGTCTTGAGCTGCCCCAGGCGCGGATCGCGGCCTCGCAGGCGGATGGACGGCCACGGTGGGGTGGGGACGTCAGGGTACGGTGAAGAGGGTGAAGATGATGATGACGAAGAGGAAGAACGAAAGGGTGGCACTGTGGCCGCGCAGGGGTCCAGACTGCCCCCCATAGCGGGCGGCGGCTCAGAGCCATCTAAACGGAAGGTGAAGAAGAAAAAGAAGAAAAAGACCAAGGGGTCGGGCAAGGGGGACGGTAAGACGCAACTTCAGCTCCTGTACCCTAGGGTCCGAGTCCCACAGAGACACACCGCCCCCTGAAGACCCTCCATCTACCTAGAGACCACCTCCAACCAGAAACAAAAATTGGCCAATCACTCATCCCAGCACAGAGATAGCCTGGTGATGGTGGTGTGCCATGGAGTGGGTTCTGACTCATAAAGACCCTGTATAGGGTTTCCGAGGATGTAAATCTTTACATGAGCAGAAAGCCTCATCGTTCTTCCGCAGAACGGTTGGTAGTTTCGAACTGCTGACCTTGACGTTAGCAGCCCGACTCATAACCACTACACTACCACTACTTAGAGATAACCTAACCCTTCCCATAAAGACTGCCTGTGTCCCCAGAGATCCTCCCCGAATGGGCTTATATCCGGGAATCGCCATCACTTTGCAGTCTCCCAACTTCACACAGAGACCACCAAATCCTATACTACGCCCCTACTCACTCCAAAAAGAAAGTGTGACAATGACATAGACCCTCCAAGGAGTCCTGGTGTGGAGCTGCAGGTTAATGCACTGGACTGCAAGGTTGGTTTGAACCACAAGGATGGCGGTTCAAGTTCAACAGCCGCTTCTCCGAAACTCTATACGGGGCCACTATGAGTCTGAACCGCTAATAACACCCCCTCCAAAGGCCCACATTCTCAGGAGACTCCTCACAAAAAAACCGTCAGTCCCCACAGCCTGGTGTGGCACAGCAGGCTGCAAAGCAAGCAAGGTCGGTGGTGGTTCAAGCTCACCAGCTGCTGCTCCTCGGAAACCCTATACAGGCTCGCTATGGGTTAGAATAGACTCAACAGCACTTAACAACAACATGTACATACAGAATCAATCATTCCTGCCATTGCCTAGTGATCCTCCTTGCACCCTCACATGTAACAGGCTTCTGTCCCCATGCAAACGTCACCCTTCACACACAATCAAGAAGGCAAGGGACAGCCTTTACCCACACAAACACTCATCACCATGGAAACCAAAACCCAACCCATTTTTGTCAAGTCAATTCCAACTCATGGGGTAAAACTGCTTCATAGCTGTAATCTTTTTTTTTTTTAAGCGTTGACCAGTGTTGCAACATTGGCTGTAATCCTTTTTTTTTTTCTTTAACGTTTTATTGTGAATTGGGTGAAGATTTGCAGAGCAGAGCACCAGTTTCACATTCAATAATTCCTACTCATTTGGTTTCATGTCAGTGACTATCGTGCCCTCTATGTAATATCACTAATCCCACCTCCTCCCTGTGTTTCCGGTTCCCATTCCTCCTTCTTTCCCCATCCTTCTGAACTTTGCCCTTGGGTAAATGCTGCCTTTTACTTTCAAATGGTTATTAAGGTGTACATGCTGGTGGTGATGGTTACGTGCTGTGGAGTCGATTCTGACTCATAGCAACCCTGTACAGGGTTTCCGAGGCTGTAAATCTTTATGGGAGCAGAAAGCCTCATCTTTCTCCCATGGAACAGCTGGTAGTTTCGAACTGCTGACTTTGAAGTTAGCAGCCTGATTTGTAACCACTACGCTACTAGAGGTCCTTAAGGTGTGCATACTTCTCTGGTGGTGATTATGTGCCGTGGAGCCGGTTCCGACCCATAGCAACCTGTACAGGGTTTCCGAGGCTGTAAATCTTTACAGGAGCAGAAAGCCTCATCTTTCTCCCGTGGAACGGTGGTAGTTTCGAACTGTTGACCCTGAGGATAGCAGCCCAATTCGTAATCACTATGCTACCAGACCTCCTTGTTGTTAAGTAGGTTCGGACTCATAATGACCCTGTATAGTGTTTCTGAAAAGCAGCTGGTGGGTTTGAACCACCAACCTGTGGTTCAAACTGACCTACCAATCGAGTGCTCATCCTACCACACCACACCAGGACTCCTAGCATGATTATTCTTTTGACTGGCTAAAAATCGAGTTAGCTGTAATCTTTAAAAAGCCTTTTTTAAAAAAAGACTTTTCTGCTGCGCTCCTGGGTAGGTTTGAACTGCCAATCTTTCTATTAGTTGTTGTTAAGTGCTGTCGAACTGGTTCCAACCCAAAACGACCCTGTATAGGGTTTCCGAGGAGCAGCTGGTGAGCTTGAACCACCAACCTTGAGCTTCAAACAGCTTTGCAGTCTGGTGCATTAACACACAGCACCACACCAGGACTCCATTAGTAGTCAAGCACAAACCATATGCATTATTTAAGGAGCACTAGATCGTAGAAGAATTGATGCCTTTGAGTTGTGGTGTTGGAGGAGAATACTGAAAGTGCCATGGACTGCCGAAAGAACCAATAGATCTGTTTTGGAAGAAGTGCAACCAGAGTGCTCCTTGGAGGCCAAGATGGCTAGACTTCGTCTCTCATACTTTGGACATACTGTCCGGAGAGAACAGTCGCTGGAGAAGGATGTCATGCTGGGTAAGGTGGAGGGTCAGAGAAAAAGAGGAAAACCCCCAATGAGATGGATCAGCCAGGTGGCGTCATTGATGGCGTCAAGTGTGGCGGCGATGGTGAGATTGACCCAGGATCAGACATTGTTTCATTCTGCTGTGCATGGGGTCGCTACGAGTTAGTTCCGACTGGATGGCACCTGACAACAACAACAACAAGTAGTGCAGCGGGTTAAGCATCCGACTGCAAACTGAAAGTTTGGCAATTCAAATCCACCAGTTGCTCTGCTGGAGAAAGAAAGATGTGGCAGTCTGTTTCTGTAAAGATTTTCTGCCACTGAAACCCTATGGAGCAGTTCTAGTCTGTCTTCTCGGCTCCCTACGAGTCAGAGTTGACTCTACAGCAGTAGTTTAGGGACTGTTACCTACTCTGGAGTCCTGGTGTGGTGCTGAGGATTAATGCACTGGACTGCAAAGTCCATTTGAACCGTGAGGTCGGTGGTTCAAGCTCACCAGCTGCTCCTTGGAAACCCTATACAGGCTCGCTGTGGGTCAGAACGGACTCGACAGCACTTAACAACACATCCTTTTACGTTTCCAAACACCCTCAGTGACACTCACACATGTAAATCACCAAATAAAAGTAAAACACATCCTGCACACATATTCACAGTCTGCAAACGCAGGCACAGATGCCGCACGTTCATGCACAGAGGTCTCCCAATAGTTCCTGCACATACTCAATCACACGCATGCAGGGCCTCACTCATTCTCCCTGTGGACACTGGCTTCACATACGCACATCAACACCCGCCACAAACCCAGAGTCCCTACATCTCATAGATCTGCTCCCATCAGATCCCAGACATCTGGACAAAGGCATTGAGCACCCACTTAGTTGAAAAACAGGGTGACAGGGACATCAAATGCAGGGCGGCCCCTGTTTTGAGTTCCAGACATCTTGTTGGCACTTGTGTGGTCATCTCAGGGGCTTTGGCTGTTCAGGGAGGTGACGCTCACTGGCCCTGGCACAGCAGCCCTGACCTCCAGGGCTAGTCCGGGGCTCCATTTCTGAATCACTGGTTCTTTGTGTGTGAGCTGGCAGCAGCAGAGAGACGGAGGCAGAGCCATGGCAGCCTTCCCCATGTCAACCTTGTAGTTTGGGGAAGGGAGGAATGAGAATATAATGACTTCTTCAGATGGAATCATCATAAAAAGAGGGGGGAAAAGTTCTGGAGTTTAGGTCAAAACCTCTGTGTGTGTTAGCAAAACCAAATTAGGAAATGTGTTGTGTTTTTGGCTTAGCCTCTGACTCTAGAAATTTCAGTGGCGGGTACCTCATACATAGTGTCAGCGGGGCCACCAAATAGTTTTCAGGGAGTAGGAAGATAGATTCTTTTTTCTTCTTTGGGTGAAGGGGTGGAGCAACAGAAAATAAAAGGATGAGTTGATGAAAGAACCACAACTCAAGTATTTCATATGCCATTTCTATAAGTCAGAAATGCTATTTAATGGCTTTAAAAAAACAAAACAAAACTATCACTACAAGCCACCCCAAAGTAGTATTTCCTAACTTGGCAGAATATTACTTTCCTCAGTCAAATGTAGGAAAGCATCCTTGTTCTCCATTTTTCCCACCCTCCAGTGTCTAGACTAGTGATGAAGTCATAGACCCCTAGGACTGGGAAAGACCTTGGGAAACATCTGGAAAGGTTAAGTGGGGGGTAGGGTGGGGGGAGGAGGGGAAGGGATAACGTGGCAGGACAGAAAGCACAGGGCACTGAGAGTCAGGCCTGCATTCAAACCCACTGTGTGCCTGTGTCAACTTCCTGAAACTTTTGGACCCTCAGTTTGCTCACCTGGGAAATGGGGCTGATACCCTTAAAGTATCCAGAAAACTCCATACATGGTTCTTCTCTCCCTTACAATCACTTAATCGAAAGCACACAGCCAGTGGGTGTGTAGGAGACTGGTAGGCTTTGAATGCTGAGCTCTAGATGATCCTGGCAGGTTGAGCGCAAGCTCACCACTAACTCTGCTCATCTGCTCTGCAGATAAACAGCAGAGCCGAGGCCTGAAGAATCAGACGCTTTCCTCATCTTCTCATGACATCTTAAATCTGAGCAAAGATAACTGCCTGAAGCAAAAGCAGAAACAGGAAAACACGCACACCCTCTCTTACCCCTCAGCAGGAAGTCTCCCCAACTTTGGTGATGTAGAAGAGAACCTTTCAAACCAGATTGACGAAAGTCTGCGTTGGGATGGGATTCTCTCAGACCCTGAGGCAGAAAAAGAAAGGATTCGCATATATAAAATGAACCGGAGGAAGCGGTACCGGATTTGGGCCCTTAAGGGTTTCCATTCAGAGCAGGCTGCTGAGGAGACAGAGGAGACCCTTCCCTACTTCTCAGATAGAGACGGCAGCTCCACCAGCAGACCACCCCTCTAAAAGCCGACTGCCCCCCACTGCTACCTTGAAGCCAGCCTGACTTCAAAGACCCTCGGATTTAGCAACCCCTCTGCAGGAATGAAACCCACCCATGACACTGACAAGTATGAAAGGTACCCTGTGCGAAATCATTCCAAAAAAAAGAAATCAGACCTACATCTGAAGGAAGAAGACGGGGTGCTGGAAAGAGACCAACCTCTCCCCGCACCAGGACACCCTTCATTGGTTATCAAGGAGAGCCATAGTGCCTTTAAGAACATAAGCGATGACTGAACCAAGTTCTTGAGGAAATTTCCTTTTTTTTAAATAAACTGGAATCTCTGATTGTTACTTGATTTTCTTCACAGTAATGTCTATAATTTGTCCCCCCAAAGAAAATTATATCTATATTATGCAAATTCTAAGTCTTAAACCAACGGGGATAGTAGTAGAATTCTCACCTTCCATACATGAACTCTGGTAGCATAGTGGTTACGAATCAGGCTGTGAACCCGCAACTGTAAGGTCAGCAGTTCGAAACTACCAGCTGTTCCGCAGGAGAAAAATGAGGCTTTCTGCTCCCGTAAAGATTTACAGCCTCAGAAACCCTGTACAGGGTCACTATGAGTCGGAACCGACTCCACCACACGTAACAACAACATATATGAGTTGTTGTTACGTGCCATTGAGTCTATTTCAACCCATAGCCACCCTGTATAGGGTTTCCAAGGAGGAGTTGGTGAGTTTGAACCGCCGACCTTGCAGTTCAACCGGCTTCACAGTCCAGCACATTAACATGAGGGTTAATGCTCCTCCATACATGAGATCCAGGTTCAAGTAGCTGCCAGTGGTAACTTGTGTGTTACTATGATGCTAAATAGGTTTCAGCTGGGCAGGCAGACGCCAAACAAACACGGGCAAGAAACAAAGGCCTGGTGATATGCTTCTGAAAGTCCTACAGATCGTTAAGTCTGATCCTGTCGTCCACTGAGTTTCCCTGCTGACCACAGCTAATAACCAATTTTAAACCAATAGCACAGGGTCTAATTCCGACATGGTAAGTGCCGTCTAGTTGGTCCCAACTCATAGCGACCCTGTATAGGGTTTCCAAGGCTTTAAACATCCTTATGAGAGCAGAAAGCCTGATCTTTCTCTCGTGGAGCAGCTGGCGGGGTGAAACCACTGATCTTTTGGTTCACAGTCCTGGGCTTATCCTATGTAGACACTGTGCTCCCTGGTCCTGACGTAGGCCCAAGAAAAATGTCCCAAAATCCTGGGGACTTTTATACTGAATTAGTACATTCCCTGCCCTTGCGTGACCTTCAAAATTAGTAGATTTCAGAACTATATCCTTTGGTAGTCCCAAAAGGAATACTGTTTCTCATAAATATGGTGGAACCCTGGTGATGCTGTGGGATAAGTACTGGACTGCTAGCCACAAGGTCAGTAGTTCAAACCTACCAGCTGCTCAAAGGGAGAACCATGAGGTTTTCTACTTCTGTTAAGATTTACAGCCTTGGAAACACTATAGAGCATGGATGTGAGACAGAATCAACTTGGTGGCAGTGAGTTTATAAATAAGGTACTCTCCCAAGATACCACTTTCTGCATCCAAAAATAAACTACACTGCTGTTTGTCTCATGTCTCATTTCCACAAACATTTCAGTAAGGACTATGTGATAGCTTATTTTCCGTTCTCCCAGAATCAGACCTTGAATCCAAGACTCAAATAAATGGAAGTAGATCATATGAGAAGTGAAGGGAACATCTTATGAGAGGTGCAGGGAAGGGAGGAGAATTGATCATGGTGCACTGTTTCCTCAGATTCCAGGCTAGGAAACAATACAAAATCCATAGCTGAGATTTATCACACCTGAGGATGAGGGGGCTGGGGTCTTTATATACCCCAAAGGTACTAGCTTAGAGCTGTTTGGGTGTGTGTGCAATTTCCTGTCATTCCCAGCCTGGCATAGATTAGAGGCCTAGGGGCCTAGTTCAATTCTGGGAGAAAATCACTCTAAGGTACAAAGGTGCAGCCTGAAAAGCCTAAGGGCTAAGAGGTGGTCTCTGACATCATGGGTCACATGCGTGCAACACAGTACAGGGTTTGGGAGGAACAGAACCAGCCAACCAGTTGCCATTGGGTTGATCCTAACTCATGGGGCGCATGTGTTGTTGTTGTTAGGTGCCATCGAGCCGGTACTGACCCATAGCGACCGTATGCACAGCAGAACGAAACAATGTCCGATCCTGGGCCAACCTCACTATTATTGCCA